AGTTCCTCAGCTCATGGGGGGATTTCATACTTCCCTTCTCTTGTATGATGAGTTTGGTCAGGCTTAGGCTGTCAACTGAGTTGTGAAAGCTGTGTGAATAGTTTTGATTTCAAATGTTTAATGGTCTGATTATGTGAATAAGTAGTGTCTACCTGTTTTGTGAGGTAATGCTAAGTACATTATTCTTGCAACCCTTATCAGTTTAGAGACTCTATGTTAAATGTCTACTGCAAGGAGAATCTTCTTGGGTGGGGAATGATAGATATAGTTATATGAGTATAGCAATGTGACTAGGAATTGCTGGGTTGATTTGTTTATTTAGCAGAATAATAGTGTTGATTGGATTATCCCACAGACCCTATAACCTATCTAGCTTCAGATTCTTTCCCTTTCACTAGTGCCAGGTATGCACTTTGGCTAATAGAGAAGGCCCCAATAAAAACTGAAAGTGGTTGATAGCTCCCATACATTTGTGCATAATTTGTCAATGCAGTTATCATTGTAGTTTGTAGAGCTCAGAACTGGGTGAGGTTGGTGAGTACTTTTCCTCTTCAGCCTTCCCATATCCTGAGGACTGGCTAGTAGGGAGGAAGTGTCTGGGTTTGTACCTCCTAGATTTCTCCATGTTCTCTGACTTAAGCATTGATGGCTACAGAAATGGGGTTTTTACCATGAAGTTTTAGAAACTTATATGAAACAGTCTGTGAGGTAGTGAAATTAGTCGTTGGGACCACACTAGCTATCCACCAAATAGAGGTGAGGTGCAAGATGAGTTACCTATTTGAGGTACTGGGCCCCCATACATTTTTAAGGTACCTCTATTAAAACATTTTATTTCTTTTCTTTTTCAAGTGCTTTGGTTTTTTTCTATTTTTTAAAAATTTAAATTAGAAACCAGCTTGTTTTACATGTCAATCCCCTTTTCCTCTCTCTCCCCTCCTCCCCTGCCCAACACTAACCCCCTAACTTACCCCTTTCTGCTCCCCAGGGAGGGTTAGGCCTTCCATGGGGGATTTTTAAATGTCTGTCATATCATTTGGGGCAGGGCCTAGGCCCTCCTCTGTGTGTCTAGGCTGAGAGAGTATCCCTCTATGTGGAGTGGGATCCCAAAATCTGTTCATATGCTGCGGATAATACTGATCTACTACTAGAGGCCCCAGAGGTTGCCAAGGCCTTAAGCCTTTACAGAAGTAGATTTCCATATGGCTCATTCAAAAGGTTTTAAATATTAATCATGTCTCTCTATATGCCCTGATCTATCCTGCCCTCCCATGTCTCATCAGAATGTAAGTTTTCCATTTGCACTATTTCCTTTAACCATTTGTACTCTTTTGTGTGGGCAACATTCATAATAAGAACTTCAGGTTTAACTGACTCTGTGTAATATTGGCATTACAAGTCAGTAGGCAATTTGTAATTTGGCACAGCAGAAGGCATTTATTACCTAAGATGATTCTTTGTGTGTGATATGCAAATGTGGAGAGAAGTAAGTCTCCTCCTGACCTGGCACTATGGCATGTGTACTAGCCTTGATGAGCCATCCACTGGTGGTGTGTTTCTTGTCACCTGGGTTTGGGTGTAGAACTTATGACTCCTTTCAGGGAGATGGACAATGACATTCTCAGCTAAACTCTTACTCATTGTCAAAGGCACTGACACTCACAGAAAGCTGACATGGTACACTGAGGTTGATTCAGTATCATGTGCTTCTCAGCGCAGAGACCGGATGATGGCTTTCTTTAATCTTCCTCATTTTATTCTTTCTCCTCCAATTATAAAGCAAGTTTTTACGACCAATGAGAATATTTTTTCTCTTTTTGAAGATCTTATGTTCTCCCTCCTACTGGCTTCTAGATTTTTGAATTCTCCTATGTTTTACTTTATAACCTTGTCAAGTTCCTTAGACTTCACACATGATAACAACAGCAGCCATTTCTGTGACTAGTGAGACAGCTTGGTATTTTAGATCTTAATCTTCAGACTGCTTGTCTTGAAGATGATATTTTATGCAAGGACCATTACTCTGTCCTTTGAAGAAAGACGTTTTCTCACAGCAAATGTGAAGAAAAAAAGGATGGTTAATGAATGAAAATGGCGACATGGAAGGGAAATTAAGGAGAGTCTTGAGAAAGATGGTTGTGGAATAGTTCTTATATTTTATAAACTTGAGAATCTTTCTCTGTTAGGATCATCTCTTATAGGAATTGCCACAAAGTGTCCTTCAGATCCTGAGACTTCAGCACGATGTCTAACTAACAGCAGCAGTGCACGCCGACCTGCCAGCCTCCTCCTGTGTGTCCAGCCGCAAAGTGTCCAGAGCTTTGTCCACCCACAACGTGTTCTGGGGCTTGTCTTTCTTTGAAGTGCCCAGAGCCTTGGACTTCCTCAAAATAAACTCGAGCCATTCAAGAATTACAAGACAACCATTTTTAATTCATTCTGTCAGTTTTCATGCTTCAAAGAATCATTAATAGGCAATAGAAATTTGTATATATGTACTGTGTTATGTACTGTTTATTAAGCATTCAGTATAGTATGTGTTTTGTTAGTTTTCATAGAACCTCCAGTTGGGATGTCCCACAGTCACAGATTGTCTCAACAGCCCTTCATACAATAGAAGTGTGGGATATTGCCGGTTCGTGCTAGTCACCTAAGCATAAACATACTTAGGGCCGGTTTGGTATTAGCTCCTCTTCCACCATAATAAGCAGTTTTATGGTCATCATTGGAGGGCAGTCTAAATATATACCTAAATATGTTGTTGGAGATTGCAGTCTTGAATAGGGTCAGGGTTAGGCCGAAGTCCATCAGCCCCACTTTGAGCAGCATATTTGGTTTTCTATCCTTACAGAAAAGGAACCTATGCAGACAACTAGACCTGTCTCTAGGCCCAGGCTTGTTAAAGATGAAGCTGAAACCACAGCTAAGGTGTCCTGTATTACTTTCTTTCTTTCAGCATACAGGTAAATCCTACCTAGAAACCAGGAATATAAATGAACCATTGCACCAAAGAATATCAATGAGTTGAAGCAGGACAAAGGTCACAAGATATTTGTAATAGAGAAGAAAAATATTGTCTCAGTCAATAAAGAGAACTCAGACAACCAGGCAGGGCTTACTGAAACTGAAAAGACAGGAGGGCCCACTGAGTCACAGCAGTCTACAGTGGTGATGTCCAGGAAGAGGACATTTCCTACATTGTAGAGTCACAGTGAAGCCAGTCATGCATGGATTTGCATTATGTTTGGAAATTCTTGGATATGCCCACTGTCGGTCATCTCTACTTCCACTGGGCTGGGCAGCCAGTCCTATAAAGAGGTCCTTGGATGTACAACTGCAGACTCCTGGTACTCAAGTCCTGGACTACTTTAGAGAACCTGGTGAGTGTCATTCCTTGAGTGGGTCTGTCTTCATGCTCTTTTTATGAGCAGCAGTAAATTTTGAGGGAGTAATTGTGAGGAATCCAGTTGTGATCATGTGATGAACAGTGTCAACTTAGCAGTCAGAAATTTAGGAGTGTAACAATGGTCCACTGTGATAGGTAGTTTTCCTTTTATCTTGTTTGCACTTGAATAGAGTTTAATTCTCCTTCATATGCATCTCTTGGTGATCTTTTAATACCCTATTCCTTAGTAGGTTTCAGAACCTGGAGAGTTCCTGAGCTGTCCTCTACTCTAATGCCGAGACAACCTACTGGAATGTCACAAGTGACAAGGGTGACAGGGATAGGTTCTCGGATTGCTCTGGGCACCAGGATTTGAGACAGCCTGTCTCAAAGATGTTCTCTCTGAAAAGAGTCTTATTACTTTCCTTGGAACAAAATATTTTCTCCTGAATAGAAAAGGCTTGTAACTAAGTGGATTATCCGAGGCCAGTGACACAGACTGCTGACAGGAAAGGGAAAAGGCAGTCTTCCTTAAACAGGAGTTGGGGAATATGCGCTTGCCTAGAGTGAGAAATGGATCTAATGTTCCATGTCTCCATCGGTCTTCTCTGTGTGGATCAGCCCTGAGCACTCTCTTGTGATGTCTTTCAGATCCTGAGACTTCATCACGATGTCTTACCAACAGCAGCAGTTCCAGCAGCCCTGCCAGCCTCCTCCTGTGTGCCCACCCCCAAAGTGCCCAGAGCCTTGTCCTCCCCCTAAATGCTCAGAGCCTTGTCCTCCTCCACAGTGCCCTGAGCCGTGTCCTCCTCAGCCATGTCAACAGAAATGCCCTCCTGTGCAACCTCCTCTACCCTGCCTGCAGAAGTGCCCACCCAAGAGCAATTAGTGCTTCAACACTCATTTGGACCAAGAGAAGAGAAGGAAACCCATCTTCCCCACTTCCATAGAAACACTTCTGTCTTCACTTCAAAGCCTATCATGGATGCAGAAGAATCTCCATCCTCCACTTTTCACTTTCTCCAGGGTGTCTGTGGTCACCCTGATCTGGAAAGCATTCCCCTGAGCTTGTTCTGCTTCTGCTGTCAAGGGGCTACTGAGAGTGATCCTTCCTCACTGGTTCAGTGTCCTGGATTCTCAGAGGGAAGATCAGGAGCTTTCCACCTTGTGCACTCAGAGGATGTGTCTAAAACTTTCAATCACCTTTGCTGGGGTGTTTCCACTGTGGTGTCACTCCTGAATAAAATGCAATCTGGTTGATAGTATTCACAACATACTCCTTTTTCTTTATTTTTAATTTTTGAGCCCCAGGTCATTCTGCTGTAATCAGTTTTCAACTGAATTTTGGGTCATAACAGAGATTATTTAGTGTCTGTGTGCTTGAGAGACACATTGTTTCATTTTGTATGACTACAAACTCTCCTTTATCACATGCTAACTTAAAATTACATCACAATGCATGGACCACTTCTAGCATGTGTTCTCAGTCGACATTCATGCAGTTTGCTCTCACTCATCCTCCTCATCTGACATGGTACTTTCACATCTGCATCAACCTATCCTTACCACGGTTTTCTCCTTCAATATTTGAAACATCCTTGCCAACCTTGCATTTATTAGGGTATTTATTTTTCTTTTTTAATTTGAATTAGAAACAAGATTGTTTTCCATGCCAATCCCAGTTCCCTCTCCCTACCCTCCTGCCCTACCCCCCTATTTTTCTTAACATGATGATATGCAGCTTCAGTCAGCCTGTAAAGGAAATGAAATCATTGTTACTTATGACTGATCATAACTGTAGTAACACAAGCGTCATATTTTCTTAACCCATTATTAGTTCACTAGTGTTCAGCTAGACTAAGTATACACTATTTAAAATAATTTAATATTAGGAGTAGTTCTGAAATATAGATGATAATGCAGGAATACCAATGACTTCTTTTCATTAGGACCCATGTGATGCTGCTCAATCATATGGAAGTTCTGCTTTAGTTTAGTCTTTGGAGGAAACCACACATTCTTTTCCATATTTGATGGGTTATTCTACTGTCTCACAGTTTGTCAGTTTCTGTTCTTTTCCTCCTTTGCTCTGCTGGAACTTGGTGCTTTTATTTTGATGGTACTCATTCTTACATGGGTAGAATGGTGTAGGTTTGGTTTTCAGTTCTCGAATAGGTAAAGATGTTGTACAGTTCTTGGTACTGTTACTTGTAGAAACTACTGAGTTTGCTGAAGTCTTGACTTTGTTCCCTTTGAACTAACGCATGACATTTGATTGGCACAATTTAACACACCTAATAACTAGAGCAAAATGATAGTTTAGAAGTTCCTGATACAACAGTTCTCACTACCATCCCCATTTCCATCTGTAATATGCCATCATCATAACCAATTCCATATCACAAGCACTACAAGCTGTAACACCAGCTATCACTGCTTCCTTAAATTATTGCCACCCTAAATACACACTAAGAGCACCACATCTATGTCCATCACCATTTCTATGACCATCATCTCCAGCATGACAACATCATAACACAATCAAACAAACAAATCATTGTTAAATGTAGGAATGTGTTGGTAATGGATTCCAGCCATGGAATGTGAGGCCTACATGGGTTGCTTATTTTTTTTATCATTTGTTAATTTGTTTTATCATTTGTTAATGTAAAATCTTGTTTTTTTTCAGGACTCTTTCATTAATGGTTTAGGTTATATCATTATTAAATATTGAATTAAATGAAGAACTAGGAAAATATTTGAACTTTATATTTAGTCTTGTCTTCTGACTCACTAAAATATGCTTAGAAAATCAGGAATAAAATATTCAGGTTGAACTCAGAGTCTAATGACCTTAAAAGATCTTAAAATTAAGAGAATCAATGTTTAATTCATTTTGTCAACTTTCATGCAACAATGAAACATAAATATGCGTTAGCTCAAAGGCCCATGTGTGATTTCTCATGTGTGTATACACAGATGTGTTATATGTCTCTGGTCTTGCAGGTTCATACTTGGATAGATCTTGCTGTGGGTCCTGTTCATCTGTGGCTGCTGTTCATGGAGCTTCAGTTGAAGGACCTTATCTTGAGTGTTTCAGCCTGGGAAGAGATTCAGGTGCCCTGACTCTGGTGCCAGTACTGAGAATATTTTGAAAATTATGTAATTATCATATGTCTTGTAAAAAGTGAGCTGTACTAAACGTAATGAGCCACCCACTGCTGTACATTTCTTGGCACATGGCCTCAGCTGTATGGTGATGATTTCCCTCAGGGGACATGGACAATGGCATTCTCCGCTAAACCCTTCCTTACTGTTAAAGGCATTGAGAGTCACAGGAAGCAGACATGCTCCACTGAGATTGATTCAGTCCTGTGTGCTTCTCATACCAGAGCTATTATGAGTTAATGGCTTTGTTTCATCTTCCTTGTTCTATTCTGTCTCCTCCAAATTGAAAGCAATTCCAGGATCAAAGAGAGTATTTTTCTTTTTTCTAAAATTCTATGTTCTCTCTCTTATGAGGTTCTAGATTTTTAGATTCTTCTGGGCTTTGTTTTATACTATAGTAAACATACTGAGACATGAAAAGTGATTACAATGGCATCAGTTAATGTCACTAGTTAGATAACTCAATGTTTCAGAATTCCAGCTTTAGATGCCTTTCTGTTTTCTGCAAGTACTATTACATGGTCCTTTGACAATAGGTGTTTTCTCACAAAGAATGCCAAGTGTAAGAAAGGCTTCTAGGTTAATGAACAAAATGGCAATACAAAAGGGAAAGTCAGGAAGACTTGAGGAGGAGTTGGGGTTCAGGAATAGTTCTGATATTCCATATTCTTTCTATGTGGGAATCATCTCTTGTGAGAATTGTCATACAGTTTCTTTCTGATATCAGATTTCAGCACAATGTCTTACCAATAGCAGCAGTGCAAACAGCCCTACCAGCCTCCTTCCATGTGCCCACCTCCAAAGTGCCCAGAACCTTGTCTACTCTCAAAGTCTCTCAGTCTTGTACTCTCTTGAAATGCCCAGCGCTGTGGACTCCCTCAAAATGTTCAAGTGTCAGTCATGAATTACAAATCACCCAATTCAATTCATTGTCAGATTTCATGCAACAATAATTCATATATAAGCATTAGAAAATTCGGAAGTGACAAATGTAGATATGTGGTAGATAAATATGTAATACTGATGCTCTGTTTATCTGTCTCTGAGTCTTTCTGTCTGTCTGTCTGTCTGTCTGTCTGTTCATGTGAGAGAGTGAGCACATGTATTGTATATGACAGACTCAGTATACTTTCAACACACAGGAAAATCCTACCTAGAAACCAGGAATATAAATCTCCAAGGCACCAAAGAATATCATTGAGCTGAAGTAGGAACAAGAGGACACAAGAGAGTGGTAAGAGGGAAAAGAAATATTGTCTTCAATCAAGAAAGGGAACTCAGACAATGAGGATGGCCTTGCTGAAACTGAAAAGACAGAATGACCCACTGAGTCACAGCACTCTACAGTGATGATGTCCAGGAAGAGGACATTTCCTATTTTACAGACTCCCAGTCTAGCTTGTTATGAATACATTTGCATTTTTCTTGGGAAATTCTTGGACCTGCCCACTGACATTCAGCTCTACTTCAACTGGGCTGGGCAGCCAGTCCTATAAAGAGGTCCTTGACTGCATGACTACAGACTCCTGGTACTCAAGTCCTGCACTAATTTGGAGAACCTGGTGAGTGTCATTTCTTGAGTTGGTCTGTCGTTATGGTCTTCTTTTATGCTGCAATCACGTGTTAGGTGCTGTGTGGTGGAATTTCCTCTTACTTGAAATTAAGTTGAACACAGTATATTTCTGTTTCATATGCATCTTTTGTTGTCTTTTCATAGGCGTATCCCTTAGTAAGTATTAGAATCTGGGTTTCCTGAGCTGTCCTCTACTAAAACAGACAAACTGCTGGGATGTCACAGTGACAAGGGAGAAAAGGATGGGTTCTCAGACTTTAGGGTTCCAGAACTTCAGACTTTTTGTCTCAAGAATATTTCTGTGTGACAATAGCCATGCTTGTTTCATGGGAAGAAAATATTTTGTCCTGGAAAAATGAATGAAACAAATGGATACTCCCAAGTCTAATCACACAGATTGCTGACAGGAAAGGAAAAGCCACGCTGTCCTAAAACAGAAGTTCTGGAATATGTGCATGCTTGGAACGAGAAATGAATCTAACGTTCCATGTCTCCATCAGTCTTCGCTGTGTGGATCATCCCTGAACACTCTCTTGTGATGTCTTTCAGATCCTGAGACTTGATCACGATGTCTTACCAACAGCAGCAGTGCAAGCAGCCCTGCCAGCCTCCTCCTGTGTGCCCACCCCCAAAGTGCCCAGAGCCTTGTCCTCCTTCTCGGTGCCCTGAGCCTTGTCCTCCTCCTCAGTGCCCTGAGCCTTGTCCTCCTCCTGAGAGCCCTGAGCCATGCCCCCCTCAGCCATGCCAGCAGAAATGGCCTCCTGTGCAACCTCCTCCACCCTGGCAGCAGATGTGCCCACCCAAGAGCAAGTGAGTGCTTCAACATTCACCAGGGCCAAGAGGAGAGAAGGAAATCCATCTCACCTACTACCGTAGCAACACCTCCATCTTACCCTCAAAGCCTGTCCTGAATGCAGAAGATTCTTCTCCAGCCTTCACCCTCCATGTGTCTGTCATGTACCCTGATAGGGAAGGCATTCCCCTGAGGTTGTGCTGCTTCTTCTGTCAATGGCCCACTGAGAATGATCCTCACTGGTTCAGTGTCCTAGATGTGCCCACAAAGACCCACATTTTTCCACCATGTACACTCTAGGATGTCTCCAAACTGTCAGCCACCTTGTTTGTGTTTTTTTTTACTGTGGTTCATATTCTGAATAAACTACAATCTGCTTGATAGTATACATGTGATCTTGTTTTCTAATACTCTATTATAATCATGATATGCTCCTGTTCCATTGCTTTTATTTTTTGATACCTAGGTTATTCTTCTATAACAAGTTTTGAGTTAATTTTGGGTCAGAACAATGATTGCTTAGTATTTGTTTGCTGGTTGTCACATATTTTCATTTTGTGCAACTCCAATCTCTCTATTGCCACTTGATGTCTTAAGAAGTTTATGGTATACTCAGATATACATGTGCCTCTAAGACATATATTCTTCCTAAATGCCCGTATACTTTGCTCTCACTTGTCTCCATCTGATGTAATAGTTATACATTTATGTGAGCCTACCTTTGTTATGCTTTTTCCTTCAATATTTGAAAGTGTACATAAGATTGTATTTATATTTGTTTGCATGGTGATATGCAGTTTATTTTATTTGGTTAAAGAGGACATGGCTTCATAGTCCTTTATGAGTCATCACTGCTCCAGTACATACGGCCACGTTTTCTTAACCCATTCCTTCACTTGTGAGCAGTTATACTGTTTTATTTACATTATATAGTAGGAATAATTCTGAAATAAACATGGATATGCAGGGATCTTTATTTTACACTATATTTGACTTCCTTTCACATGAACCCAAGTGATGCTGTTGAATCACATGGTAGTTCTGCTTTCCTGTTATTTCTTTGGAGAAAGACCCTTGCTGATGTCTATATTTTTTTGGTTATTCTGCTCTCTCCCATCTGAGAATTTCTGTTCTTTTCCCTCCATTCCTCTGCCAGGACTTATTCTGGATCTGGTGTTACTCATTCTTACATGGGTGGAATGGTCTTCTGGTGTGGGTGTGGTTTCCAGTTTTCTAATGGCTAAAGATGCTGAACATTTTCTTGTTAATGTTACTTGTGGATATTCTTAAGTCTTGTCTTTGGTCACATTGAACTAATCCATGCTTTTTGATTGGCACAATCTGAGGCACCTGGTTAGAGCACTAAGTAAGTGATAGTTTAGAATCTGCTGATCTGAATCATTTCTACTACCGTCACTAGCATCCCCATTTCCATCCAAAGCATCCCATCATCATAACCAATACCACCGTCATTATCATAACCAGTACAATATATCACACCAGCTAATACTGCCTTTCTCAACTATCATTGCCACTTTCTGTACTATTACCCCACTAATTGCACCACATATATTTCCATCGCCAATATCTTTAGCACAAACAATAACATAATTTCCTCAAAAATATTGTTAAATATAGGAATGTGTTGGAAATGGATTACTGGCTAAGAATTATGACCCCTGCATGGGTCCTCCTATTGCTTTTCTGTGTTTCTTTCATCTGTTAATGTAGAATCTTGATTTTTTTCAGTGTCATTTTTCTTTCTTTCTTTTTTTTGAGACAGGGTTTCTGTATTGTTTTGGATCCTGTTCTGGAACTTGCTCTGTAAACCAGGCTAGACTTGAACTCATAGAGATCTGCCTGCCTCTGCTTCCCGAGTGCTGGGATTATAGGCATGTGCCACCAACTCCCTGATCAGTGACTTTTTCTTTTTTGTGACTGTTTTTTTAATTGCATAGATCATGCCATAGCAATATATTAAATTCAAAGATGAACTAAAATATTAGAAGTACTTATTCAGGTTTATCATTGACTCATAAAATTCCATAAAAATCAGGGTAAAAATATGTAGGTTGAACTAAGGGTCATCTGATTTTAAAATGATCATAAATAGAAGGGAATCAAATGTTTAGCTCAATGATAGATGACAGCTCAAAATTGCCATTGTGTGAGTATTTATGCTTGTTCACACATGTATTCCATGTCTCTCGTCTTGAAGGTTCATACTTGGAGAAAGTGTCTATGTGACCTGTTCATCTGTGACTGTTTTTCATGGAGTTTCAGTAGAAGGAACTCAGATTCAGAGTCTACAGTGTCTACAGTTCTTGGGACATGGCCTCAGGTGTATGATGATGATGTCCTTTAAGGGACATTTACAGGGACATTCTCAGTTAAACCCTTCCTTACTGTCAGAAGCGCTAGACAGTCACAGGAACCTGACATGCTTCATTGAGTTTGATTCATTTCCTGTGTGCTTCACTGAGAAGAGCTGGGACAGCTCTTTTCATCTTCTTTTTTCTGTTTTTATCCTTTAAAAAAACCACAATTTTCAAGGAAAAAAAGGTATATTTTTCTCTTTCCTGTACTATTTGTTCCCCCTCTTATGAGTTTCCAGATTCTTTATTTTTGGCTTTTGGATTCTTTTTACCCTATCAACTTCATGTGACATCACAAGTGATAATAATGGCAGCGATTACTGTCACCATTGGGATTTCTCAGCATTGTAGAACTTAAATTTCAGCCTGCCTTTCTTGGAGTTGATGTATTCTGCAAGTTCAGTTACTCTATTTTTTGGAAGAAAGGTGTTTTCTCACAGAAAATGTGCAGAAAAGCAGTGGTTTTCCAGGTTATTGAAACAAACATGGTGATATGGAAGGAAAATCAGGAAGTCTTGAAGAGTTGGTGTTGAAGAATAGTTCTGATGTTTCATAAACTTATGAATTTTCTCTGTGGGGATCATCTCTTGTGAAAATTGTCACATACTGTCTTTCAGACCCTGAGGCTTCAGCATGATGTCTTACCAACAGCAGCAGTGCAAGCAGCCCTGCCAGTCTCCTCTTGTGTGTCCACCCCGAAAGTGCCCAGAGCCTTGTGTTCCTCCAAAGTACCTTGTCAACTCTGAAAGTTTCTCAGCCTTGTCCTCTTCTGAGGAGTCTTGGAATCTCTCAGAGTGTTCAAACTCAATCAATTTTTGCAAATAACAACTTCATTCATTCATTCATTCAGTTTTCATGCAGCAACAAATCATTGATATTCATTAAAAAATTGGGGAGTGGAGACCCAGTTCAACGGTGGAGGTGAGTTCCAAACACTGAACACCCAGAGGCAGCCCCCAGAGGTAGCCCACTCTCACCACTGGACAGGAACACCAGACAGAAACTTAACAAAGAAACAAAAGAACTAACAGAAGTTACGACACATTTGGACTTAACAGACATCTATAGAATATTGCACCCAAATACAAAACAGTTTACTTTCTTCTCAGCACCACATGGAACCTTCTCTAAAATTGACCACATACTTGGCAACATAGCAGACCTCAACAAGTACAAAAATATTGAAATAACCTCCTGTGTCTTATCAGACCACCATGCTTTAAAATTAGAATCCAACAACTAGAACTACAGAATACCTACAAACTCATGGAAATTAAGTAACACCTAATTGCACAATTCATGGGTCCAGGAAGAAATAAAAAACAAATTAAAGATTTTCTAGAATTCAATGAGAATGAGGACACAACATATCCAAACCTATGGGATACTCTGAAAGCAGTGCTAAGAGGAAAGTTCATAGCCTAAATGCCCATATGAAAAAACAGGAGAATAATCACACTAGAGAATTAACAGCACAACTGAAAGCTTTAGAAAACAAAGAAGCCATTACAACCCAGAGGAGCAGATGCCAGGAAATAATCAAATTGAGGGCTGAAATCAATAAAATGGAAACTAGGAGATCAATACAAAGAATCAATATAACAAAAAGTTGGTTCTTTGAGAAAATCAACAAGATAGACAAACCTTTATCTAAACTTACCAAACAACAAAGAGTGAACATGCAAATTAATAAAATCAGGAATGAAAAGTGGTCATAACAACAGACACAGTGGACATCAAGAGAATCATCAGGTCACACTATGAAAACCTATATTCCTCAAAATTTGAAAATCTAAAGGAAATGGACAATGTTCTGGACAGATTTCACTTTCCAAAATTAAAACAAGAACAGATAAGCAATTTACAGACCTATAACCTCTAATGAAATAGAAGCAGTCATTAGAAGTCTCCCAACCAAAAAAAGCCCAGGCCAGATGGCTTCAGTGCAGAATTCTACCAGAAATTCAAAGTACAGCTAATACCGATTCTCCTCAAAGTATTCCACACAAAAGAAGCAGAAGGGTCATTGCCAAACTCTTTTTATGAGGCCACAATAACCTTGATACCCAAGCCACAC